GCAATTACTAGCAATTGGTTAACCTCTCTGCCTTCCTTTTTTCTCGTTTCTCTCTCTCCATTTATTGAGACATACCAAGTTTAATTTTTTTTGAGGTTGAGGATAAACAGGCAGTTTAGACGATATAACGGGGCAGACCATTCCAGTCAGCTGACGTTGGAAAAAACAAGAGAGAGAGAAAGAGGTAAAGATGCAAGGAAAGGCAGGGAGGTTAACCAGACGCACATCCGGTTTGCTACCCTGCACTGGGGAAGGAATGAAAGGGAGCAAAGAGGTTAGACTACAAAAAAGTCGCTGTGTGGCTGCATGGACGAGCAAGTTGCAAGTAGAGCCCTGTGCGCCGAGATGTGCGCGGTGGCGGAGCCAGATTATGTGGGGCATGATATAGTGAGCTGCAGAAAAAACTTGTCGAAAAGAATTAATGAATCAATGCGGTGCCGGGACTGTAGCGTGTTTGAACCAGACTGAACTTTTAAGTGTTACGCTAGTGCTATATGAATGTGGTGATTGAATGAACCTTACTGCGCGGTTCTGAGGGGATTATAAGGCATTGATAATGTATCTTTGATGAGGTGACCAGATGGGAGAAGTGTATTCTAACTTCAGGAGTACGAGTTACTTACACGCTAAACGTTTTACATGACATGGTGCATAACGCAGATGTCGTTTTGTGAATCCGAGGGTTTTGTTGGCCGAAGCAGTGACGCGTGCTATACAAGGTGACCAGTTTAAGATATGTGAAAGGGTGGCACCGAGGTACCTAAATGTAGCTACGCTTTCTAATGAAGTGTTGACAATAGTGTAGGGTATGTATAATGGTTGTGAACGACGAGCGGAACTTACTATACCTTGCATTTGTTGGGGTTCAGGGTCATCAACCAATCGTTGCACTAGTCTTGAACATTAGGATCTTCTTGCAAAAGAGAGTGGTCAGCTATAATAGTGATTGGACGATAGATGACACAATCGTCGGCGAACATTCGAATTCGAGAGGTGACATGTAGAGGGAGGTTATAGTATAAACAAGAAATAGCAGTGGGCCTGAGACGTTACCCTGTGGGACGCCAGATGTTACAGAGAGAGGGCCGGCAATGAAATCATTGACATGTGCTGACTTGATCAATTACTCATTGATCAATTGCTGACATAACATCCTGGACAGAGGGGAGGGGGTACTGGTAAAGGAGCATCAGGTTCAGTGGAGAATACAGATGACAAAGCTAAACTAATTACATCAGCAGATTCTTGTTGGGGAATCGTAATGTCATTACGGTCGGTAATGATAACAGCAGAAGGTGGCTAAGGGTTCAGAATTTTCAAGAATTTTTTAGTGTTGCTTTTGAGTACACAAGATAAAGTAATTAAAAAGGAGTGCTTGTCATAATGTATAGACAATAAGTAAGCTTTCTCAGGTACGTAATTTGTCTATTCATTCATTTGTTTAGTTTTATAAATTCGCTAATATCTTGTAACTAGGGGGTTCCGCATTTATATAATCGTGCCTCACTTGAGAATATACTTCTGATAAACATACACGTTTTCCCTGAACGTACCTTCTTCAACTTTTTTAGTCTTTTTTTCAGAATAGCATTGTTTGCTTTGAAAAAAATCTTAATAAAATTAACATATGCATATACTTTTTAGAGTCTGTGTGTTCTACTGCCTCAATGTGAGTAGTTACCTCGTCATTTAGAGCAAACATGCCATTCAATAGAAGCCTTTCGAAAAGTTTCTGTTTCGAGTCCGGCATACAGTCATTTCTGATAAACGCTCGTTGTCCAGCCATAACAAACACATATATTCCGAGAAAATTGGTGAGTAATACAGCACCAATGGTACCATTGTATTTAGGTTCTAGAAAAGGGGTGACGTGGAGTCCACCTCATCACTGGAGCCGTCGACAAATCGCCACTCTATCGAATGCTGTTGACCCTATTTGTTGGTTCTTTTGCTTTACATGTCAACAACCCCAATTGACGACGCCCACTCTTCAAGATGACGTAATTTACTGGTCCTACGGGTCACTGTACTGATTCAAGCCGTGTCGAAAGCCTGAAGGTATGTTGTTTTCTATGGCGTGAGAACAATCATCTCCCAGTTTCATACCCAACTAGACAGACTTCCGTTGAATGTGTACCTTATCAAAACAATGCGTGTCCTGTACAAGGATCACTGATATCAGGATAAGGACGTACTTGCCACTTCAGCAACGTCTCTGCTTTTCAGACTGTGTTTTTAGAAAAAGTGTATAACGATTTAAAGTACGTAGTACTCTACTGCCAGATGCTGATAAAAGTTGTTGTTTCGTCCCCCTTTTGTTGGGACCGTTAGATTGGCAGCACCGACACCAGCTCAGCAGTATACGACGTCACCTATAGACTTCCATATGATAAACAGCTCCCCGTTCCAACCAAGACTATTGCTTTTAAGTATGCCACTCTTGATGTCTGTAGGAAGCTAATCAAACGCTGAAACAATAGAAACCAGAACAAAAAAATATTTTGTCGTTGACGTATGTACATTTTGAAAAATGACGAATAGTAAAGTAAGTTGCAAAAATATTGTCCTCATGGTGTTTTTTTTCTTACTGTGCTGTGTATAATTTTCACATACCATTTCTACGTTTAAAGCATGTAGCAACTCGCCGAGCAGCAAGTTTCGGGCCGAAATCCTTAAATACCTTGTCAATCGTGCAAATAGACCATCGGCGTCATCAGCGCCTCGAGTTGCCAGCGTCAACGGGAGGGGTGAAAAACGTCATCACTAGCTGACGACTCCATAAGACGACATTTTAAAGTCACGTGTCGCCAAATTGTGAGGCGTCATGACATCACATATTCAGCTATCTAGTGGTGACATCACATGAAGTCATCGCTTGACCAAAGGTTACCCAGTGACTAAGGCCGTGGAAAACCAGGCGACGTGCAGAAAGCTTATAAGGTCTTCGATCCAAGAGGCAGTGCATAAGCACGTTAGGTGCAGAAAACCTTGATCTTGGATGCGCCTTTGATGGCAAACGCATACGAAACCCTTCGAGTTTTATTGAAGGTTGCTATTTTATAACATGCCATCTAGCGTAATTGATCAAAGCGGAGCGTCAACGCAACGGAGAGGTGCAACACCGTGATGAGAGCACAACGCGTGCAGAAGTGTGATGTTACCTGTGTTACCGGCAGGCCCTCAGCAAAGTTGATGTTTGAGCGTAATCTAGCACGCAGGTCTTCTGAGTGCTTGTGCTCAAGTGTGCTTGTATAGGACTTGCAAAAGTTTTTGTAATCATCTAATAACTACAGTAAATTACTAAAAATCACTTACGAGGAAATTTTGATCTTAAGGCTGTTGACGTAACACGCGACGTCCTTACCTTGAAAATCGTGACGTTGTAGTTTGTATCCATGAGTGGTATCAACGTATGCACTCATTTCCATCCACATATAGAAACACGTTCATAACTAACATCACCACTGCTGTAATCCCCTACGGCACGAGATGGTTAAACTGTAGGCAACAAGGCGATCACGAGTAAACTGATGCAAGAACACACAAAGTGTTCTATATAGTTCGTTCCACAGGCTTACACCAAAGTAGTAGACCACGTTCGTGCAGCCGACAGCGACATCTGCTCCATTTCATCTCTTCGGAGCACCCTCTTCTGTCACCGTCGAAATGCCTCACTCAAAGCACACTTTGCATTCTAGTACACTATAACGCCGTGGCTGTGCCCAAAAGGACAGCTGCAAGGGCGTTGTGATGACGTGGTTAGCTAACTAATACATTAGGTAACGAAAAGACTAAAACTTGGGCTAGTTCATCGTATTTTGTGTGCCTTCTTTTTCTGTTGTTGTGTGGTTTCGCTGCCATTTCCTTCTGATATATAGCAGGTGAACATGTTCAAATGAACTCACACATACCTATTTACGATATAGCATAATCCGTGAAAAACCTCCCTTTTAACAAACAATCTACTCATGCGTACGCAGCCCACCAATAACAAATAACACAAGGGTGCCTGAAGGTCACGTAGTACATCTTCGGCTTTAAGCATGCTCATTTACAAAGTCACGCACGCATTCGAGACATGGCCTCCATCAACGTCTGGCTAGAGTAGTCTTCTTTATCGCGTCGACGTCTGGGATAGTTTGGCGATGAATTTCTTTTTGTGTGATGACCACATGTAGGACAATGAGCCTTGTATTATTCATCTGCCACTATGTCAACAATGCTGCTTTCGATGCGGTGGCAGCCGTCTCAGGTGCGTACGTGTGTTTCTCCGTGAGCCCTGAGATGAAACAAGGCAAGGTGGCCTTACATCCTACAGTGATGGCCTTAACACATTGCGCTTTTGCAGTACAGTAAAAAAAATAGTCCACAACGGTTGATCAGTAGCTAGGATACTCGGCTGCTGTCCTGAAAGTCGCGTGTTCGATTCCAGCTGCGACAGTGGCATTTCGACGGAGGCGAAATGGTAAAGGCCCGCGCATAGTGTGATGTCAGTGCATGTTAAAGAACACCAGATGTTCACAATTTCCGTAGTGATGCATCAGGTCGTCTCTCATAATCATATGGATGTATTGGAACGTTAAAACCCGACATTTATAGTTTGCGTTGAGTGTGAATGCAAACATTCCACAGCAGTCTGTCTGGTTGGGTATGAAAATGGGAGATGATTTAGACTCCATGCTAAAGTTTTGAAAGAACCCAACGTTTCGAAAGCGACTTGCTTCCTTCCTCAAGGGTGACTGCGGAGACGTAGCTCTGCAGTCACCCTTGAGGACGAAACCAAGTCGGATTCGAAACGTCGGGTTTCTTCAAAACTTTTGCTTCGAGTCTAAATTATCTCCCATAGTTTGTGTTTCATTGTTTCCGCGATGCATTGTGATGTTATACTGTTACCCACATGCACTGTATTTATGGTCAGGTATTCATACTTGCACAGTGAATGACGTAAGCTGCCATTGAAGTGGTCCTCAGGGTCTCACTAAAGCTTCCTAAAACGGCTATGATTGATTGATTTATGCTCATGCGTTTATTGCCCTCCACGAGGACAGCCAATGAGAGAGTTCGTGACGTTCCATACTGAAGTCCTATCGCTGCATTGGAAGTCGAACAGCATGAGGTACAAGTCCGGCCTTCCTTGTAGCGTCGTAAGCCAGGAAAAACTGCAACCGCGGCAGGTGAATCGGTTACCTGCGTGGATGATAAAAAAAAAACAGTCATCACTTTTGAAGGCCGTTTTACATTTGTTCAATTTTAATAGCGACTGTACACACGCGGCTTATGGACTGCATGCGGCCCGTGGTTGCACACATAAGTTTTTCTGGCTCGTGGTTAAATGTTACTTGCATTATTTCCTTTTTATCGTCTATTGCGAATAATGAGGTTTAGTTTGGTTCAGCTATAGTAACGAGACCGGTCCCGAATATTTTAACTTTGTTTTATTTTTATTAGGTACAGATGATTGGGGCGCACAAAAATGTCATGAAAAAAGAGAGAAGCAGAACAGGAGAAAGAGAAAAAACACTCATTGCATATATTTTACAACACACACACACACACACAGCTGCGTATCACGAGGGGTCTCTCAATTTTCAAAAGCTGCAGAAGAGCGGCTCTTTAAACCACAGCGGTATCTGCATGGTTACAGCGCCCGCTTCCAATGCGAGAGGTACAGTGCTCGATTCCCAAGGCCGACCAGGAACCCACCACTTTTTCCCAATGGGTAGAGGAGTACAGCGACCTGGCACTCTGCTGTTTTTAAGTACTCATCTCGAGAGGTAGCCTCATGAGGTTCTGCGAAAGCCCATGGGCGTACCTTAGGCCACCAAAGCCTTGGTGAAATAGCTGAACATTCGCTGCTTTAGGAGACAGAGAACTGCTGCCACCAGGTACCTACTGGTTAAGAAGGTACGACTGCACTTCCAGCCTGGTGCTCGCTCGAACGTAGTTATGGTCGCTTGGGAGGGCACCCACCACGCATAAAATTAGCGGCATGAGACCACTAGACCTCAAATTAAGGCCATCGTATTTTTTTCTTAACTACGCCAGTTAAGTATAAATCGCCCTAAAAGAAGTTTTCTTGTAATATTTGTTTTAGTTCATTTTTCTCTGAGGCAGCCCGTTCTACGATGAGTTCAAGCGTCGTCATGAAAACGAAACCTCTACATGTTATAATTGGTGCCACAATTTCACTCATTGTGAAGACTAGTATCAGTATTGTACATCGACGGCATACGAAGTTTGGTGAGTGTATCGTGCCTTCGAGTAAAGGAAAGGAAAAATATCGGTGCAAGCAAGCAAGATTAGTGTTGAGCTCAGCTTGCTCGGGACCCTTCAGAAAATAACAAAAAGAATGAGGCCATCCCTGCAGTGTCTGCAGTGTGCTCGGTCGTCTTCTTTACACCACATCGGGACCCATACCATTCCCACAGCGACAACGGAACGTCAATGACATGCTTCTCGCAGCTAGTTGCCATATCGTATTGAAGAAGGCAGTTTTGCACAAGGCGTGCCGAGCCTGAAAAAGAGCGGACATGAGCAGGCCTTTTTGTCTCTCATAGATTGTTTTTTTTCGTATTTTTAAGTGTTCTCTTTTTCATTACTTCATTTCTGTTCATTTCCGATTTATTTTTTTCTTTTCTTCTTTACTCCCTCTTTTGATTTCTCGCATACTTGCTCCTCTTCTCAATTTTTATTTGGAGTTTTATTTAATCTTGGCATTTAGGATCATTGTAAAGCCTCTTCTAAGCAACATAGTGAAATAAGTAGGAATTTCAAACAGATACCAGACCTTGTTACCGAACTCGTTAAAACACCAATTATGATTTTCTTTAGTTCATTCTCGTTCGCACTATTGTGTTCTTATTCTGGGAGTTACGTCACGGTCTAAACTAAACAACTTGTATCTAACGAAAAAAAAAGCTATTCGCTTGCTTCGTAACCTATCATACCACGAACACGGATCTTCGCATTTCTCATCACTGCGCATTCTTCGCATTCGTGAGTTATATAACCGGCGTCTCTCTGAGCTCATATTTTTCAAATACAGAAATTGACCTTCAGGTATTTCTCGCTATCTTTACTAACAACGCTCTACACCACAACTTTAGACATCCCACTTTCTTGAAACCAGGAACAGGGACTACCTATAATCAGCAATTTTTCAAATGACAAATCCCTAATCTGCTTAACAGTCATCCCCAAGTACTAACTTTGATAAACCATGATTCTTTTATATCATCTTTCATGAAGAAGTCGAAGATGTACTTCTCAGAGCACATATTTATTATTCAAGGTGTGAGTGCAGTAAGTTATGCCATTCTCTCACGTGAATTTAGAAGAAGTGTTTAACGATTTAGAGTATCATGGGATAGCATATAGGCATACAATGGGGACTGTTTCCGGAGCCGTAATCGTACATATATATTAAAGAAAGTGGTTAACGATTTTAGGTACGTGAGTACTGCACTATCGGAGACCATAAACCCGTCCCGAATGGAAAACACGGCTTGTAATAATTGGCCAGAAGTTGTGTTGAGAAAAAGTGGTAAACAATTTATAGTACCTGGCCCTCTACAGTGGGAGAGCATGACGCCGCCTCGTGAACCTTAATTTTATTATTACGTGTATAAATTGTTGCGCACTACCTACTCTTGTGACAATTCATGTACAGAAACCTCTGTCTATGCTTCCATATAGAACACAGATGTCTGCTCCAATATTGCTCGTTTTATCTCTTTTGTTTATTTGCTTTGAAATAAAACGTGTACGCAATATAACCCGTCTTCTAAACCTTGTTGTAAACTTTTTTTTGTATAGGATTTCTCCTAGTTGTGTGCAATGAGATTATGTTTTTATGTTTTTCTTTCGATACTAGCTGCCACTCTGTGTGAAGAATGTACGGTGCGGTGCTAGAGGCCTAGTCAGGTGACTCATAATGTCGCCTTTCGTCTCCTGCGCCAACGAAGATTTATTTTGTTTTAAACCTTCTTGTCTGCACCAGGGCATTCATGTGTTGTCAAACAACTAAATAAATGATAGTAATAATAAAGTAACTTGTCAAGGCGCTTCAAGAACAAAAGGAAGAATAAAGGCATCTCTTTGGCAGGAACTCGCGCTTTGGTATATGTTATTTTGCGTGCCTTAAAATAATCATTCAGGCACTCGAAGAATTCGAGAAGGAAGAACTCGTTGCGTTAGCCCGCGATATGGATGGCTGTGCTATGTGTTGCTTCGCCTTAGTTTTTCCTTCCTCCAATCTTTGCTTCCTCTGTTTCTTCCCTCCTCCCGAAAGAGTGAGCAGGCGTTGTGCCCCTCCAGGTGGCATTTGCCAGCTTTCTCTCTCCCTCTTTCCTATGTGTCCTTGTGTATCTGTGTATGCCAATCAAATAATAAATAATAATAATAATAAGGCAAAGCGATGACGACAGCATACGATGGCCTGCCGCCTGAAGTGCTGCATACTAAAAATTGCCCATTCTCTTCCCTCCCTTTTTCGCTTGAGTAACCTTCACTGTCCTCGTCCCTCCCGGTTTAAATTTTCCCACTGTTGATCGAGGCGGAAATGTTGTAGGCCCGTGTGCTCAGATTTTGGTGCACGTTAAAGAACACCAGGTGGTCGAAATTTACTACGGCGTCGCTCATGATCATATGGTGGTTTTGCGACGTTAAACCACACATATCAATCAAATTTTCCGACTGTGGCTCGGATTCATAGTTCAGTTGGAGGCCCCTGGTCTACAAGTGCTTATGAAGAGGGGCCTTCTCTGTGGCTTCTCGAAGTGACACTCACTTACGAACGCTTAACATGACTAGACAAAAACAAGCAAATATAGCTTGCCCCCTTAAATGATGCACTTGACACAAATATCAAGAGAAAGGTTTATACAAACCGTAACAGTGCTAGTAACAGTTTTTGGACATGAAGCACGTACAATGTAAAACAAAAATTAGTCTTCAGCGTTTTATGATACATTATGGAAAATCTTCTAGGCATTTTAAGGAAACATAAAAAGTAGATTTTTGTTGTTTTTTTAACAAGAAGTACATTTGGGCCTGTTATTCATTTTCTGTGGGTACTATAAAATCGATTTAACCTATATTCTAATGTATAACCCTACAACCATAAGGTGTACTGGTTGATAGCTTAGTTTCTATAGAACAAAATAAAATTGGTTGCCATGGGGCGGCGTCTTTCGATCTGGTAAGAGATAGTTCAGAGACAGAAAGCAGACTGCCTCTAGAAACGATTTCAAGAATATTCGACGAAGTGACTTGTCACTACGTCTCACCTCGGGTCTCGATCTTGGCCTGCCCTAGCTTATTGATCCGCTTCGCGTTCAATGTCATTGCCTCCATCAGGGGCTTGAAGACGGGACCACTGAACTCTTCCAGCTTGTTCATTGTGAGTCGAAGCGTCAAGGGTGCCACCTTGTAGAACGCCTTCTCGTCGATGCTCTCTATTTGGCCGGCACTCAGAATAATCTGCGTGTTTATCAGAAAAGAGAGAGAGAGAAAGTGAAAAAGAAAAGGCCGGGAGGTTAACCAGATATTGGCATCTGGTTTGCTACCCAGCGCTGGAGGCGGGGAAGTAGGGGCAAGAAAAAGGGGGTAGATAGAGAAAAAAAACGCACGCGCACTCATAAAAAATGAAAACACACACAGGGAGGGCGTCCTAGCTACAACCGTTCAGTAAGACCGGTCGATCGCAAAAAGTGTAGTAGCGCTTTCAGAGCCTTCTTTTGTGAAGTCGCAACCTGACGATAGTGCAGAATTCCCTGCTCCGACAGAGGTTGATCATCTAATTTGTTGAGTTACTTGCGAAGGCATAGTCGTTGTTTATTATACGCTAGGCAGCCACAAAGAATACGTTGGATTGTTTCCTCTTTTCCACAGTGGCCACAGGCTGCGGTCTCCATTCAAGGCTCTAGCCCTCTCTCAACAGAGATCGGAGGTCGACGTGGCAGAAGAGTTCTGTGCCAACTTATCTGGTCAACTCGCAGATCCCCACATCTCCATGCTCTCACGTGGTGGCAAGACATCACACGATCACCACATGGACCAATTTTTTTCTATTCATGAGCTTAAAGCAGCACTGGCTTTGTGTAGACGGACATCAGCACCCGGGCCAGATGGAATATCATACAGAGCACTGTGTCACCTTGGTGAGTGTGCGAGGAGTGCCCTCCTCGAGATATACAGCGATTCGTGGCGAGAGGCCACCCTCCCAGTTAACTGGAAGACCAGCCGTTTGGTTCCATTACTGAAGCCTGGCAAGTCACCCTTGGTGCTCACATCATACCGCCTGATTGCACTAACTAGTTACTTGGGCGAAGTGATGGAGAGAATGGTATTTGGACGGCTAGAATGGTTCCTGGAGCATCACAACATCTACCCGAACACTATGACGGGATTTCGCCATGGCCGGTCATCAATTGATAGCGTCATAGACCTGGTCAGCTACGCGCAACACGAAAAAGGCCGTAAGCGTCTCTGCGCTTCTTTATTTCTTGGTGTTAAAGGGGCGTACGATAACGTCACACATGAAGCGGTCCTCACCACTCTCAAGGAGGTAGGAGTGGGTGGTCGGATGCTTAAGTGGCTACGCAGCTATCTCTTTGAGCGATCCTTTTTCGTGAGAACCGAGGATGGTGACACTTCGCTACATTACAGCCACCGTAGTGTTCCCCAGGGTGGCATACTTAGCCCTGTACTATTCAACCTGGCGCTAATAGCTCTCAATGAGCATCTGCCAAGTACTGTCAGATTGTCAATGTACGCGGACGACATCCGCGTTTGGACGTCTGCAGTAACACGTCTACAGCTGCGAGCGCGAATTCAGAGAGCTGCCACCCAAGTTCCTATTTACCTCCGTCAACGAGGTCTGGAAATTTCCTCTGAGAAATGTGCAATTGTGGCATTAACGCGCAAACCATTGCAGAACTACAGCGTTCTGATAAACAGCGAAAGGATACGTCACCTCTGATCATACAAGTTTCTATGTGTTATAATTGACAGAGACCTCTCATGGAGCTCACATGTATCATACATGAAAAGGCGATTGACAGGCATCTGTCATTTGTTCAAGTTCTTCGCTGGAAAGAACTGGGAAATGTCCACAACTGCTATGTAGCGACTATACAGGATTCTTTTCTTTGGATTCCTTCGGTGCAGCCTACCTGTGTTAACCAACGCAAGTAAAAGAAGCATACGAATGCTTCAAGGTGTCCAGGCTCAAGCACTCCGGATATGTTTAGGCTTGCCCCAAAGTGCGTCAACAGCGGCAACTATCGCCATCACAAGGGACAACCTCATCAAGACCCACATTAATGTGGAAGTGCTGGGGACACAAATACGACATCTTGCCCGAACCCCTCGACATCACCTAGCCTCTCTACCAGTGGTCCGACCATGCACATCTTACTGCAAAACAGTGACCGCACATGGTGAGTCGATCCCAACTTCGTTCTCTCCTGCCGCTAGACCTGTGACTCTGCCATGGTGCCTCGCTCAATCAATGATTCATAATGACATACCTGGCGTCCAGAAAAAGGCCAATTTGTCGTCACCGGCTCTTAAACAGCTCACACTACTTCTCTTGTATGAGAAATACCAAGACTCCACACATATATACACTGACGGATCGGTTCAGATGGACAGTTCTACAGGAGCAGTAGTGATACCAAGGTTGGCCATGACAAGTAAATTCAAGACATCTCACGCAACAACATCAACGGCAGCAGAATTAGCAGCACTTCGTGCCGCGTTGCAATTTGTAGTTGTTCAACCCACACGCAAGTGGACTATTTTCTGCGACTAGAAGGCGGCACTGCAGTCTCTACTATCAGCCTTACGCCATTGACCACACGAGCAGCTGGTACTAGAGATAGCAGAGGTTATACACCACCTGACTGAGAAAGGGCACCAAATTACATTTCAGTGGTTGCCCAGTCACTGCGGAATCATCGGCAATGAACGGACCGATCAAGCTGCCCGCTCAGCCCACACAGAAGATCATAAACTGCAACTACCACTTTCTAGGACAGATGCTGCACGAAAGCTCCGCAGGCTTGCTCGCCAGCAAACCACATCACAATGGAATCAGCCACACTTCAAGCATGCCCGACTGTACTCGCCCTACGCTAAGTCTTCAAGTCCCGTCGAGGCTTTACCGAGCAGACCAGACCCTGTTATGTAGGCTGTGGTTGGGCGTTGCGTTTACCAACGCCTACGCTTTCCGCATTGGGATGTTTATCAGAAATTCCCTGGTAAGCATTGGGGCTGTACCGCGTACCTTTCCAAGCACAGCCTCGAGCTACAAGTCTTTCGGACCATAGTGGTTTTAAAGACGATAGTCTTTCTTGGGGACCTTCGGCGCAAAAACTTTGGTCTGTCTGTCTGTCTGTCTGTCTGTCTGTCTGTCTGTCTGTCTGTCTGTCTGTCTGTACATTTGTCCGTTTGTGCATCGCTACCGCGAACTGGGTATTCGAAATAGCACCAGCCGATACCCCGAACGGCCGACCCAATACGCAGTGCCCACCAGTGTTGCTCAAGAATCAGCGTTCATAGTGCGATTGTCAATTAAAAAGCAATCATTGCGCATATCTGAGGCGTCATAACAACACGTATAGATTCTGCATGTTTGTCTTTTATAGAAAAGGCATACAGAGGTAATTCTGAGGACTGTAGCGATTATCATGCTGCGGTGACCATGCAACGCTTGCACGAAGAAGCGAGTGTTTCCAACGCTTTGCAAAGACGACGTGGTGGTGGCACCTACCCGTCGCCTTGCGTTCTACACTCTATCGCCTCTGAGACGGGCGCGCACGCCCACCTCAGGGCCACGTGCTTTGTTTTCCAAATAAAACTGCCAGATGGTGCTCATGTCTCACGTGTGACGTAACTTGATGTGCTCGTTCACCTCCGCTGCGCGCTCAAGGCACTCTAACGCAGTGCCGTCAGAATACCATTCACCGATTTTCTTCTGTAGAACATCAAATAAATGTTTTGTTACCCTCTCCACACGCAAGACTATCGTCTTTCGACGACATTTGCAGATTACATGCAGATACAGGGCCAATTTTTTACCTATGGTTGGTTACAACTTAGGAATAAATGCGATATGCAGTTACAGTCCATACACCTATTCAATGATTCTAAACAGCAGTTGGCGCTGTCGACAAACCGAGGCGCATGTAGCGACGTCATGGAGCGTATACGCTCCGCCCATCCCAGACCTCACCACTGCCTTCTAAGACTACGTGACAACAGGCACAACAGCTCCAAACTGCCTTCCAAAGTGTGTCTCGAAGACTTCCACGTGGCGCTGCAAGAGCCTCGATATATCACTCAGCATGCCTACGACGCTCGATGGCACCTATCAAACATGCAATTCAACCTCCGCCCCAACTACTGCGGGCCTCTTTCTATTCACCGACATAAGTGGGCCTGGCTAGGTGTTCTCCTGTGTAACATTAAGAGCGCTTTTTACTCTGGCACTGTAAGCACTACGCGTATTATTGAATAAAACTCAATCGTCCCTTCATAAAAAGTTACGTCCTTCCTCAAAGATTCTTGGAATTGTTGCTGGAATTTTCTAAAAATTTCAAGTTTCTCGACCAAAAACCTGCGTCGTGAACTTGTGTCCCTTTGATAAAATCACCTGCCAATATATCCTTCACTTGCAAATTATTCGTGATAGTAGCTCAATCGTCGATTATGTGGTGGATTATCAATAACGCAAAGGTGTGATGCCCACGGGATGGCTTCATGCTCTCTCAATCGGTAGAGTACCTAATACTCTAAATCATTACACACTTTTTTGAACACACATTTGACAAACAGGTTACGTATTCCCACGGGACGGCTTTATGCTCTCTCATAGCAGTGTACCTAGTGCTTTGAATCGTTACTGACTTTTTCTTAACACATATTCGACCAATCTGATTTTGCGGGGTCTGTACTGCTGGGGATAGGGGCAGGTAACTGCTTTTTTCACGGTTCACTACGAAATACTCGAAATCCTTGAACACTTTTCCAAAACATACATCCGACCTTTTGTGTTCATCGTCATTATTACTTACTGTTGTGCTTAGGGCCAGTTTTCTGCTCTCACATATATTGTAGGGCACTAAGCACACTGAATTGTTAACCGCTTTTTCTAAGCACGCACATATCCAGCCTCATCTAGTGAGCCCACGGGGTGGCTTTGTGCTCTTCAATATTGGAGTACCAAGTACTCTAAATCATCAACCACTTTCTCTAACCCCCGCACCCCCCCCCCCCATTATCTTTTGTGACTAGGGGCTTCTCTCTGCACTCTTATAGCAGAGTACATGAAGTACTCTAAATCGTCCACCAGTTTTACGAAAACAGATGAAAGTTCTCCTGTACATGGTACTCTAAATTATGTGAGATTTGTTCTAAGCACAAGCCTTAAAACTAGGACAGGTGATGGCTTCCCCAAAGTAAAGGACGTATAGAATGCTAAAGCATACCCATTTATTCTTAACGCCAGGTTTTCAAGGCACTCACTATTAAATTCTGAGATACAAAGTCAAGTAATCCGTAATAGTTTATAATATGTATGTGTTAAATGTTCATATTCTGCAGTCAGCCATGTTCCACTTTGACGTGTAAAGAATGAAATCGCGGGCTCTTAATACGTGCGTGATTATTTTTTGTTACAATTATTTTGAGAAAATAAAATTATTAGTTTTGAATTTGGTTTGAGAAAGCAGCATCCTGAACGACCCGTCAAAAGTTCTAGTGACGTCACTAAAGTAAGTGGCTACACTCATACAAAGCACACTGACGTTAAGTAGAGACGTGTTGGCTATGCAGTAGGTCGAGATGATGTAATTAGTAATGTTCCTTGCTCCCTCATAGCAAGAGTTCGACACAACTCACAATATCTAACAGGAAAAAAAATGAAAGTATACAGAAAAAGACTTTAGGATTCATTTACAACTCGCTCGGTCTCAGCCCTATTAGTGAAATAATAAAACAGGTAATTTGCATCCGGTGAGTGAAATCAACTGTGTCTGTAGGCTGAAGTTCTTTTATCAGTTAGTAAATGGTCCTTATAAAGCTAACACATCACATATATTGATCCTATCTACAGGTTACGTAACTGTAATTCAGCATTCTAAAATAATCAAGCTTTAATGCAAAGTTTGAACTGTTGAAAAATTATTTTTGCTTTCCTCGTACATTAAATATTTCGAATAAACTGTCCAATGAGGCTTTTATACAAAGCTTTTTGGTATAGATTGAAGAGCATTTGATTCGAAGCGTTTTGTAACCTGTTCTGACAGCTTTGCCACTTTTTGTGGTTTTTTTTGCCTAAATGTACATTTGTGTGTTTTGTACGACTCTCCTATGGTCTAAGCAAGACTGCAGTAGTTATAAATAAATAAATAAATAAGTAAATAAATAAATAAATAAATAAACTAGTTGCGCACACAAAAGCTGCCACCCAGGGTATATACGTGAAAGGTGTTGGACGTCAGGAAAATGACTGAACGCAATTGGACGGGACAGGCATGAAAAGTTTCTCAGGGTGGCACCACGACTGCTGTAGAGCAGAACCTGCGTGTTCGTTTTAGTTAGTTATAATCATAGCACGCTTATCAATCAACTGTGTAAGATAGTTGGGCAAGCTGTTTTTTTTTAATCGATAACTACTTTTTTGCGCTAATGTAAATATCACGCACGTCGGAAACTAAAGATTGTCCATTGCTACTTAAAATGTCACCTATGGTTAAGTAGTGATATCAGAAGTGTTCATGTAATAAGCTGTAGGTCGTTCAGTTTTCGATTCGTTACAAGCTAAAGGAACAAGTGTCTATGACAATGCCAACAACCTGTAACACGCCACGAATGTTTGACATCTTGGAAATGGAAAAGTCTTCGTGGAGTGGAGCCGCTGCCTCCTACTAAAGTATCAGCCGCTGCAACTCGTTCAACCGCAAAGCGAAGGCGAATAAGGCTGAAGCAGCGTCACTGTACGTGCAGAAGACAATGAAACGAAATCGTTGACTGGAATTCAGATGCTCGCAAAGCAAGTGGCTCGTTACGTCAGGACTCGCGAATGCGCCGGTTTTGTCATACCCTGGGGCCGCTCCCGTGTTTATAAAAAGAATATTATAAATCAATTTTTCGACCAAATGTGTGGAGCCAGCTTGTTTGTTAAAGATTAAGAAAGTAACACGGAACACATGCTATCAGCATAAATTGGGTCTCTCAACCCCTGCAATTCTTTGAGAGTGGGAAATTGTTGGTTGTATGTAGGTGGCACTTGTAATTAATCTGAGCGCTTGTCCCGTCCTTTTCTTGTCCGCCGTGTGTTTCTTTTTTCGCACTGTTGCACCTTAAGTAACGTGATAGTAACGGTCTATAGGCCTTTACGTAAAGCAAATATTAGTTCTGCGAAATCCCGCAAGATGGAAGTAAGGTCTTTGTCGGCGTTCTCTTCCAATCGCCATGATTCCAGCCGCCGCTGAAGACAATCGAACGTGTTTGCACCTTTCCTCAAGGTTTTCGCTCATCTCTGTGTCACGTGCTAATGCTACATGCAGCTTCATCAGTCAAGCCTGTTCACAAGGTACAATTTCTAGCTCATCTTAAAGGGATACTCTGCCGATTTTGCGATAAACACTGATTTCAATGAAACTTTCAAAATGCGTTCTATTGACAGCCCTGATGATATGTGCTAAACTAAACAAACGTACGTCATTCCGCTCTTTAGAGAAACGAATTTTAAAATTGGTAGCCAAAGTCGGAGTCACAATTATTAGCAAACGCTCGCCAATTTGTGTATATGTGACGTAACGTTCTTACTATTTTTCAACCCCGCCTCCCTCATGATACGGATGCAACGCACGCTTTCTTTTACAAAGTAACGACGCTGCGAATCTGCTTGTTAGGTTCAGTCCACTTCATACCACGTGTTAGTCGTCATTGACATCAAGACCTACAATAAGCTTGCAATATATTAAGTACCGAGAAGATCAATGCAGGGTGCGTTATGTGCTTCATGCGGCAATGGGCGAAATCAAAAGGCGATGCTTGTGCGCTCAGGTAGTAGCTGTAGCCATCACTGCACTCGTCACTGGTAAAGTCATATGGGCTGGTACAGCCGGATTCTGCGTCAGATGGCATATCTAGCTTGCTTTTCGCGCGATAAAAGAAGTACGTTTGCTATGTTTACCTCCTGGCCAGCCACTACGGCGTGTCGCGTATTTTGTGACGTCATCGCATACCCAGCGCGGAGCAGCATGCCATTTTGATTTCTATTGTGACTCATTGTTTATTGCTATTTAAAGTTATTGACGAATCTCTCAGTATATAGAATCATCCGAGATGTTACAGGAATGTTAATACTATTTGAAAACGGCATTATCGCAATATGGTCGGAAATGCACCAGAGTTGCCTTTTAACAGCGTTTATACTAGAGATGCTAGCAATTTGTGGCATGACATCTCTACCTCCACCGTGACGTCACGCCAAGCCAAGCATGTGCATGCTGTGCATGCGCCATTACTACTGAGCGAGTGCGGTGTCGTGCGGGCTCAGAATTCTATGATAATCCATCTAAGGACAGTTCATACTGCTATAGAAGAGGCCACGCTTCGCGAAGGAACGCTGGCTGCTAAGCGGTAATGGTAGCAGCCACTATGGTCGAGAATAAGTGTTTGTATACGTGGGTTCCCGTCACCGTCTCTTTAGCAGTGTGTCACCAGTGAATGCTATGCTAATCATATTCAGCAAAGTGCCTCTACGTTCAATGTACTACTGGATGTATCCTAATCGCTCCTACCTGCAGCAACGGGTTATGCCGGGGAATGGTGAAGGAGTAAGCGGCGAGCCTCTTGACGCGAATGTATCGCAGCTCAATTTGCTTCAAACTGGGCAGATTTCTGAAAGCGAACGCTCCGATGCTGCTGATTGGGTTCGTGTTCAGCAACAACGTCTCCAGCGAAGGGTTTTTGAACGCGAACGCTGGGATGTGGTCGATGTTGTTCTGGGCCAGGTTCAGGAGGCGCAGCTTCTGGAAAACAGCAATCCTGCGTGAAAAGTGACAGGAACGAAACGGATGTTGCAGCAAGACAGAGAGAGACAGAGAGAGAGACATGCAGAAGTTCCAGGCGGAATTTCAATCGGTAGGAAAAGCTCATTCTGTGAATTCCCACAAACTGCTGCGCACACTTTTACCTGAGTCACAACGGTTCAGTGCGCGATTATTCTCAGTAATAGGCATTCCCATATAGAGATATTTCCTTTCTACACCTTCAGCATAGGCGTGCGTAAGGTCCTTCTTCGGGGCGGAGAGAGGGTTAATGTATAGCGGAGCCCGCCCACCCCCCCTATTAGGTCAAAGTATGCGGTAGACTTTGCACCTTGCCCCCCTAGGTGATAGAGCAAAAGCAGCTGCACCTCCCCCCCCCCGCCCACCCACCACCCCCTGCCTATGTAATCCAAGGTAAGAAGCATGACAACTTTTTTTCACCGGCCCTGTCACTGCACTGTCTCTGGGATCGGCACAAATTTGACCATGCGATCATCTAGGATGACCACGTGATCACGTGACGCCATTTTTATGACGTCATAGGGAAGTCACAAATGTTTATCTGTGAAGTCATGGTAATATATGAAATGAAGTCTTCGAACCGTATTGCATCGCCGCGTGGCTTTTTGCTTCGTTAACATGGACGCCGGCGGTAATTTTTCTCCTTTCTTGAGGTTTTTAGCCTTAAAATATAAGGCTTAGCGCTTCCTTTGAACCTCAATAATTCATTTTGCACCTTACTTGTTGAAGTGTTTATAGCAATCGCTGTTCAGACTAATTTATGTTTATACAGAACAGTATGAACCTTTCTCAAACCATCGTTGTTTATGCTAAGATATAACCTTACTTGAATAAGCTCCATCCCTCTTATATATTTCCTTTTGTCAAGGATTCTGAATAACTTGCAGTGGAACATGAATGAGTGGTCTATAAAATAGTCGAAGAGTGTCACTGGAAACCTGTGCCACCGAACGAGACAGAAGGAGAGACGTTCAGACCTGGGTGCTATTCTTGGCGTTATCTAATCCAGTCAAGTTGTAGAGTTATACATTTCTTTCAGCTATGATTGGTCTAGAGGGCTTGAAAGGCCAGTCTAATTAGCTTACACCCAGGTATTAAATTTTAAAATATGGTGGAATAAAACAATGTATGTGACGGTATCCCATAAGGACATTATGTCTTACAATGGAGGAAGGAAAAAAACTTCAAAGAAGCGTCTCGTGGGAAGTTTCAAGCCCAGCCATAAAAATTAAAGAAGAGCATGTCGTGAATAATGAGAATCATAAGAAAAACTTGAGGAAAGTGGCATCGGAGGAGGTTGGCTTGTAGACAGTGGGCGAGTGCACTTGCCGAACGCCCATTTTGTCAAAACTGAGTCAATTTTTTTCGCTATAAGTGCAACAGAAAAAACAAACAGGAGTTTGATGGGATGTTTCACATGAACACGAGGAGGTAGCGGTGTTACAAGAGGTTGAATTGTGGATTCTAGGTGTGCTCCCACCTAGTTTTTTCCTCCTTGTGTATTGCGAGTTTGCTACCAACATTTTCAGACAGTGCAATGCTGTGCTCTGTAAAACCGTGGTACTATTTTTGTCTCGCACAGCAGTGCTTTTGCGAAAAGAGTGCCCTGTTTCCCGGGTGACTCCACCCGCAACGAGTAAGAAAATAGTTGGACGCCGGAATGAAAATTCTTTGTCAGTGGTCACATTTTCGGGCAAAAGCTGTCTCATTTGCCGCAACCGTGAACAGAAGTGTGGCAGTTCGGACTAGTTGGTATGACGAGTTATAGCGCGAGAACAGAACGATTACAAAGAGACAAGAAGAACACGAGCGCTAACTTCCAACTGAGTTTATTGCGCAGAGCGCGAGAACATATAGGGGAGACAGTAAACCACGTGACAGAACCATGTGACAATAGCAATGCATGAGTAGGGAGAAAACAAAAACGTAAAAAAAGACAAGGAGAAGTGGCACTCGAACAGGTGCCATGCAAACAGATGGCACCCGACCAGGTGTCATGCATTAAGCAAACCTCCGTGTCATTTTTCGGGAAGGAACTAAGGTTCTTCGAAGGTTTCGGTGTCCGCAAATAGTTATATCACTTTTACTTTTACTTTCCTGTTTCGTTCCCCACAAACTTTTTTTGCCTTTTTCTGCGCTTTTGTTTTTTTCCCCTTGCTCAGGCATTGCTCTTTGTGCCACATGGTTTTTGTCACATGGTTTACTGTCTCCTACATAGGTTTTCACGCTCTGCGCAATAAACTCAGTTGGAAGTTAGCGCTCGTGTCCTTCTTGTCTATTTGTCGTCGTTCTGTTCTCGCGCTATAACTATCATCGTTAAACCCTAAATAGAACTTGTGATTTTGTCGTGGTTGCGTGGTCTGCAGTCACTTATGACAGAGTCGTATGCTTTCAAAGCAGGGTTTGAAAGATCGACACGGGTGCGAAAGTTGATATTTCAGATTTGAGTGAGTGTTGTATATTTTGGCCCCGCCGCGTTGGCCTAGTGGCTAGGGTACTCGGCTGCTGACCCGCAGGTCGCGGGATCGAATACCGGCTGCGGCGGCTGCATTTCTGATGGAGGCGGAAATGTTGTAGGCTTGTGTGCTCAGATTTCGGTGCACGTTAAAGAACCCAAGGTGGTCGAAATTTCCGGAGCCCTCCACTACGGCGTCTCCCATAATCATATGGTGGTTTTGGGACGGTAAACCCCACATATCAATCAATGTTGTACATTTTGTGCACATACCACTTGGTAGTCCGAAAGTGAACTTTGCTTTTTTATTAACTGCATAACTAAGAGAAAAAATATCGGAGTTATTTAGTACGAAGGAACTATTTTTGTCTCTTGTCATGCTTGATAGTTAACTGCAATATAAAAACGCAAATATTACCGTTACGAAGACATTCTTTTTTTTCACAAAATGTACGTGCAATGAAAAGTAAAGCAGCATTGTTTGAAACTTGAGGTCTGAAGCAGACTGTTTTTGAAGATTGTCTGAACAGCTAGCATTTTTTAAGTTGCTATATATGGGAATATGTTTCTCCAAAGACATACCAGCCAGTGTTTCGTAACTTGGTGGCCTATAACAACCTACTGTTTACAATATTGCCTGCCAATACTGTTGCTGTACTTCAAATAAGTATTTTTATTTATGGCCTCAAACTTTTGATTTTGGCGACGGTTAAGTATATTGAAATAGAAATATTTAAAAAACCGCATCTTCAATTTTTTTCAAAATCCCACAATCGGACTCTCGCAGATCACATGAAAAAAGAAAAATATTATTAGGAAACATGTTGCAACATTTATTTCTTAGCGAGAATATTACGGGTACGAGTGCCAGCTTTTCGAGGATGCACGAAGGCATTAAACACATGACAAATTAATCTTAAAGAAAAATGGACTTGAGCTTCTGAGTAATTTGAACAGAGGAAATTGTTTGGTGGTCGTTGTTGCTGCTGTGGCTCCCTTCACTTTCGCTCTGCTGCTGCTAGCGTCGGTGGATGCACTATAATGGTTGCCGACGTTGGGCACGACAAGAGTGACGGGAGAAAAACTGCTTTCTGGCAGTTGATTTGAAGTTTTCCAACACGACGCGGACGGCTAAAACGTTGATTTGTTTCAAAATAAGCACTTCCTAGGTGCAGAAGTATTGCTATGAAGTTTCTGGGCAGCTATTTCAGCAATCGACGTCGAAATAATATTAGCTGTTGGGGCCCCTTTAAATTAGCTATCTAATGCGCTCACATTAATAAGAGCTGAGAACACTTACCTCTTGTAATCGACACTCGTCAGCTTGTTTCCAAATAGGCTGAGCTCCGACAAATATTCGGCCGAGTTGTTCAGTGCAGACAGCTGGAAAGAAGTCAGGTTGCAGACTTCGATGTAAGCTTTACCGAAGACGAACTCCCCGAAGGTATCGGCATTTATAGCGTCCACGGGCACACCCTGGATCCAGAGAGCCTTGTGCATGGTTTTCTTGGTCCCGCCGAACGCAGCCTCGAGCTGCGATATGTTCTTGACCTTCACGCAGTTGATTCCGGTGAAGTCGCAGCCACACGGCCTCAGGGATTCCGGTTCGGGACACGGGTCCAGCAATGCCGTAGCCAAAGCCATGACGCAGAACAGTAGGATGCACTTGATTGACATGTAGGGTAAAGCTGCGCAAACGAGGGACAAGCGATCATAAGTATATTGAGCCAATTACTGATTTGTCTTTATTCACTTTATTATGAAGCAAAATAAATACCATCCTACTTCAACATTCAGACTGTCACAGCTCTCTTGTAACGAAACATTTGGTAAACGGAGGTTCTTTGTTTGCTATCTTTGAAAATTTTTAGTTCTTATTCTTACCCACCAATCCTCCTTGATACCCCTTTTACGTCACCACCGCTCACTGCAATTTGAAGCTGGAAGAGCAATCACGCGTTTTGCAGGTGCAAAAAAAAAACGTTGCATTATACAAATAGTCGCCACATTTTCCGGTGGACAGATCCTGACAATATATATAAATATATATATATATATATATATATATATATATATATATATATATATATATATATATATATATATATATATATATATATATATATACCTTATATCGCCACATCCAAAACAGTAAGCAGCGAAGTCACCACGTAAACTTGCGGAGCGTGGACATCGTAGAAACAGCCGTAAACTTTTTTTTTTTTCAGATTGCCTCAAAGTGGAGTTGTGAAGTACCCATTGCGCCATTAATCATCGCGTTTTACAAAGTATAGTGAAGCAGCTCGTACGCGCTCCCACAGGTATATGCGCACCTGCGTAGTCTGACACTCTGTTTCGCTGGTCTGCCTGATTCCCAGGACAATGAAGAATTATGGTTAAGCATTCCCTGCTCTTGTTCTAAAAATTGACCCTGCAGTTTTTAACTAGATTCGTGCATTCATTTCTTCTCGTGTTCAATTTGCCAGCACTAACGATGTTAATTCTTGCACTGTACCGGTTGATTCTGGGGTTCCTCAAGGATCAGTACTTGGCCCCCTGTTATTCCTTATCTATATAAATGACTTACCTTCTACTATTACTTCCAAAATTTGTTCGCTGACGACTGTGTGATTTACCGCAAAATTTCTAATGACAATGATATTAATTCTCTGCAGGCTGATCTCAATAACATACTTCATTGGTGTCATATTTGGAAAATGGAACTAAACATTCAAAAATGCAAGTCTATGAGGATTTCTTGGTCGAGTACAACTTGTCCAACTTACTTCCTTCACAGTCACCCCCTCGAAACTGAAACATCTTACCGGTATCTCGGCGTCCACATAACTAACACTTTGTCCTGGAAATTACATACAGAACATATAGCGTCCAAAGCTAATAAAACACTGGGTTACCTTCGAAGAAACTTCTTTCTTGCTCCATCGTCACTAAAGTTATTACTATATACCACATACGTCCGTCCTCAAATGGAATACGCTTCATCTGTTTGGGACTCTGGTCAGGTAACATTATCACACATGTTGGAATCCATTCAAAATCGTGCAGCTCGTTTCATTTTGGCTAACTACCATCGTTCAGCTAGTGTCACTCAAATGAAGGCATCTCTAAACCTCATCCCACTAGTTACCTGCCGAAAGCGCACTCGCATTTGCCTGTTTCATAAAATATTCTATCATAATCCGAAACTCCGTTCCCGTTTAATCCAAGCTGCTCCCTTCATTTCTCCTCGCCGTAATCACCAAAAAAAAGTCACAGTCCTACATTGCAACACAGTAACATATGCCCAATCATATCTCCCAAAAACTTGTAATGAATGGAATTCCCTGCCTGTATCAATAACAAGCATCAATGAACCGATTCAATTTAAGAATGTCCTTAAAACAATGATTACCTAATTACCCCCTGTATGTTTGTTGAACAGTTTATTTGTATTGCTTTGTGCCTTCACCATGTAATAAAAGTAAAATAGTGTTATCATTTGCTTTATTATGATGTGAGTTGTTAGGCATAATAATCTTTGTACCCCAATTAGTGACATTTTTATGCCATTTGCTTTGTATTCCTTGTTTTGTTCGTTGTTGTGCATGCCCTTCCCCTCTGAAATGCACTGTGTATCCTGGGGGTAAAATAAATAAATATGGTTGAGCCTTTTTCGAGAAATGGAAGAGCTGAAACTACCCACGCGCAACGTGGTTTACATGCTGTCACACCTGCTGCGATTGTGCTCCTTTATCACGCAATACTGCAGTTCTTAACTCGTTCTTCTCCATACATGATGCTTGTATAGAATCTTTTTCCGGCAAAACTTTGTGCACTGACGTGCATTTGTGGTATATCCCTTTCTGAACACACTGGAACTTTGAATCTGTGTCAAATCTTTTTTTTTTACACTTTTTTGAGTGCCCGATAGCTCCTACTGGCACTGGTGGCGGCGGTCGCTAAAGATTACGCCGCCAACAAAATCGAGTGCTTTTGTGAGCTCATAACGGCTTCCGCCGTAAAACAATGATTTTCAGTCAAAAAGACCGAAAGGGATTGAACCAGATGAAGTATTGCGGCTTTTTTTTATTTACTACATCAACACCATACCTGGTCCGATATTGTTTAATTTTATTTGTGTCTTCGCGTGTAACGCACTTCTGATATCAACTTGAACTTTCTAAATGTTCTTTGACCTTGTCATATACAGATCTTCAGGTGCGGGTAACCCAGCGACACTCAGAACAAAGACTAAAAAAGGTACACTCAAGCGCACACCGTAGGTGGACTCCGTCGCCAACATACGGTGTGTGTTCGAACATTTTTGAAACAATATACATATACTTCATTGCAAAAAATACAATTTATTTACTTTTTTGGCATAACACTTATACATGGTTCGCCCGCAAGGTAAGGCAAAAGGAGGATCCGTACCTCCTGACCAGGGCCTTTCGCCCAGGGGCAGCAGAAGCATGCCTTATTTTTTCGCCCATGTTTCAAGTCTCACTGATTTTCTCGTAGCTAGTTATAAACCAGAAACTGGCCCATTTTTTCGCGCTTCTGTAAAGCTGACACAACATTTTTTCATAGTAAAACGTTTCTATTACCGTTGATTAAAAGTCACTGACTACGAATCTATCTCTTGGCTTCAGTATAAGAAATGATCGTGAGGCAGTTTTTTAAAGGGCTAGTCCACAGGCTTTGACTTTTTTTCACAGCCCCAAACGAGCTCGCGCATCTCTCTTACGCATGACCAACCTCCGTCTACCCGCAGTGACGTCAACTCGGTCATCGAAAACGAGACGCAGCACGCAACTCGTTGATTGGTCTAAACCAGGTCACAACAAACTGTAATGCAGTCAATGTCGCGGTTCGCCGAGTGGGCGTCACTGCTCGTTTAAGGGGGTTGGTGAGGTGCAGGAATGTTTCGCGGTGTAAAAAAGTCCGAGCCTGTTGCCTGGGCCTTTGAGTCATTAAACAGCCACAGTGGACAGAGCATGTTGAATATCAACAATCTTCTCAGGATCATGGTACGCTGGTAATGCATGATTCGGGCTAATGTTTCCACAACGTGGAAAAGAGGTGCAAGTATCAGAACCCTATTATTGTTATCAGCACAAGCTATGTTATGTTGGCCCTCAGCAGTAAACTCGTAGCCCAAAACTAGCACAATGATAAACAAAGAACACGGAACTAGCACTGCAGCCTTGCGTTCCTTGTCTGTCCTTGGGTTGGTCTTGTGCTACAGTTTTTAAAGACGACAGTCTTTCTTGGGCACCTTCGACAAAAAAAAATTTGGTCTGTCCGTCTGTACATTTGTCTGTTTGTCCGCCCTAACGATACCTCAAACGGCATCAATTCGCTAACCCCATCCGCAGCGCCCTCCAATATTGCTCAAGGTTTAGCGTTCATAGTGTTGTGATTGTCAATTAAAAAAGCAAATATTGCGCATATCTGAGGTGCCATAACAGCACTTCTGTGTTTTGTATGTCTGCCATTATACTAGAAGAGGCAAACACAAGTAACTCTAAGGACTGTAGCGTTTAATGCGCTGCGCTGAAGATGCAACGCGATGCTCAAGAAGGTCTTTTCAACGCTTTGCTACAATGGCACGGTGGTGGCAACTTCCCGTCGCTTTGCATTCTACACCTAGTCACCTCCGAGACTGCCACGCATCTTTCTCCGCGGTCGCGCACGCCTTCGTTTTCGAAGATAACTGTTAGATGGCGCTTGTATCTAACGTGCCTAGACGCGCTTGTTCGCCTCCGCTACACGTTCGAAGCACTCTAACGCAGCGCCTTCAGAATACGATTCACCGATTTTCTTGCACAGAACACCAAACAAACGTTTTGTTCACTCTCTGCAGACGCAAGTCGCCTTTCGACAACATTTACAGTGTAACTTGTAGATTCAGGCCAATTGTTTTTTTTTTCAAAGATGTTTTGAAGTTTCGAAGTTTTGAACTATTTCGGGAAAATGTTTTGCCAAACCATATTGTTGGTTGATTTAAAAAAAGAAGGAGCAGACAAATTATTAATTGAAAGACCTTTAAGCTATTTAATAGACCGACAGCACGCCGACTGCTCCCTGCAATAGCTGTAAAAAAACACTCCCGAAGGCGCTCACCCATGGCGTCTCCAGTGAATTTTCCAAGTTACTGCCTGCCACTCCTTGTAGCTCAGTGAACACGCTCGGCACTGAATGATGACATTCACCACAAGAAGCCATATACCGACTCTGGAGTTCACTGATATCACAAATGCCGTGTCGGCAGCGGTCATCATGCTCTCATCCATATCTGGTTGGAATGCCCACGTTACGCGTTCACGTGGCGGAAACATTGAGAGCAGCACATGTTTATCGCAAGATATTCCTTCTTCCATTTTATTGTCAGTCGTAATCAAACACTTGGTGCAAGGCTTTGACACATCGGGAACGTAATTGGTATAGGCCGTCTATCACCAAAGTACCGTTCACTCACTATTGTGATGCAATGGCGCGAAGGCGACGAGGTGATATATATGATTTTTTTCTTTTTTGTTCTAACACAGGCAGCTCATCTTTTCGTTGTACTCACCACATCGCCTATAAAGGGTAATGTTGTCACAGCAGCGGAAACTCACAAGTTCAAACTTAAAGGTAATCTTGAATTATAGGCTTTTCTTGAGTAATAGGAATTATAT